CATGTTCGCTCATGAACGCACTCGAGGACAATCAAAGGTCTGTACGAAGGGACGCATCGTGAGCTTGTATGATTACGAAGAAGCCGAGTTACATTTGGACGAACTTTGAATACGCTTGTAACGAAATTAATTGTTCGTTATTCGACGAACGATCATATTTTGAGTATCCATCGACGAACCTTCTCGTCCGCGATGAACGTATCGTTTTTCCCTTTTTAAATATGAGGCTCTTCTAACTTAAACAATCACACTTTCAGACTTCCTTTCTCACATCCTCTTCTAATCCTCAGATTCGCACACCTCTCTCCAGCACACAAAGCGTGTTAGCCGAAGAAGCCAAATAGGAATCTCGAAAACTTCCTTTCCAACGCAAATGAGGATCAATTTCCTCGTTTTGTTCAGGAAATCACAATCACATCTCGCATCTTGGATTCAAAGCGGATAGATTTCAAGGTAATTACAACTTTTCGTACTCAAGCACAATTCATTTTCATCCTGTCTCTCGTCCATGCCTCTACTACACAAACATTTCTCTATTTCTAGCAACATGAGTTTCAATCTGACCCACTTTGATTATAGATACCTTTGTCTTCAAGCAACAAGTAGCAAATCACTGAAGCATGTGCATGGTGAGCATTTCTAAACCTTAAGATGAAGGATATAGAGTATCGAATTACCTTGATGACGAAACATATTTAGATGGATGAGTCAAGTAATTACAGAATTCAGAAAAGTGGTATTAAATTTATCATGTTTGCTAAGTTTGGGATGACCAAAATGCCCGTATCAATCAGCATATCCTAGATCTTCAATATTCCTAAAGCTGGTGATAGGAAGTAAACATATACCCTCTCCTTTCTGTTCTAAACCATTTTGAATTTCTGGATCGTCAACCTATCGACGAAGCCAAACTCAATCATAGATCATTCTACTGGGCTTTTCAGAAATAGACATGTATGAACAAGAAGAGAGAAAGAAAGAATATTTCTTTGAGACATTTAGTTATCTACAATTTTGGAGAAGAAATATAATTTGGTGATCCTGATGAAGACTATGAAAGCACGTTTATAATAATGATGAATCTTTTCAGATTGCATCTTCAGGGCAGGAAAAAAGAAGAAAGAAAAAGACATGCTAGTGGTTGATAGATAAAAGAAGGAGGAACGCAAACCTCTGCACCTAGTCATATTATAGAATCTGATGAAAATATTTGATTAGGATTAGAGACTCTATATTTCAAAAAAGATTATGATAAGTTGAATGCTCAACTTGCTTGCATGCAACAACATGCCATATGACTATATATCTATAGAATATGAAGTACATGATTTATAACAATGTAAGTTTGGATGGTCCTGCTACTTTCACAACCTTTTCGGGTGGGCATTCTCTCTTCGCTTCAGAACTAGTAGATGATGGTTGTTTAGTGTTTTGTTGTACTTGTGTTGTATTTTTTTATTGTGTTAGTTTCATCAATATTTTTTTTTTTGTACAAAGTGTTTTTTAATGTTTTGTTTGTTTTTTTTTCTGTCTGTTGTGTACTTTGTATAGAATGGTTTGTTTCTTTCAGTCAACTTATATATTTGCATCTTCGGACTTGTTCAAGTGTTATTTGTTATTTGAAATGTCGTTAATTTTATGAATTCCATTAGAATTACTTTAAAACTTCATAGTCCGTTAAAATTTAGATGTAATTGAGATTATCTACATTAGAAAATTCTAGTCTTGTCTAAAATTTAAAATTATTTATAACTTGTTATAATATTAGAATTTGTTTAACTCCATAATTATCATTTCTTAGACTAAAAAAGTTAAATTAATTATTGGCAATTTGATGTTTGTTTTTTCTCTTATTTGTATTTCCTTGCTCAAATAATATTTATACACTTTAGAAATATTTGAAATTTTAGATTATTTGATTTTTGAAGAGATTGGTCTAAATTTTCTTGAAAAATTA